ATTTATTCACATGCAAAACTGTTTTAGCAGGCTGACTAACTTTTATCCAAGATGCTTAAGACCAGATAGAAGTGTTTTTCATTTAGGATTTTATTTTTTATTTATTTACTTTTGTTTGAGACAGGGTCTCAACATGTAGCCTTGGTTGGCCAGAAACTATGTAGAACAGGTTGAAATCACAAAACCTCCTCTACCTCCCTCCCTCTACCTCCTAAGTTCTAGAGCTAAACTCTAGAACTTCGAAGTTCTAGAGTTAGACTCAAACTCTCCCCCTCAGTCCAATTTGGTGGTTAGATTTTAGAGTATTTGCATATACCCATATGATACATTGCAGATGAGACCTAGATCCAAACCCTAAATTCATTTGCTTCCCATACACCTTATTTATAAGCTGAAGGTAGTTGTAGACCTTTTTTTCAGTGTATAGCGTTTCACTTTGAACCCTCACATGCAGACAAGTGTGGAATCTCTTGGTGATATGTTTATGGCTTAATTTTATTATTTTCTTTATTAAAACCTACTTCATATTTTTTTCTTTTTCTTTCTTTCTTTTCTTTTCTTTTTTTTTTTTTAAGACGGGGTTTCTCTGTGTAACTCTGGCTGTCCTGGAACTCACTCTGAGACCAGGTTGGCCATGAACTCAGAGATCCACCTACCTTTGCTGCCTCCCAAATGCTGGGATTAAAGGTGTGCATCATCATGCCCAGCTCTTGAAAACCTACTTTTTTTTAAAGAAGGGAAATTACAGGATGAAATTTATTTTATTTTCTTGCTTAGATAATTTTCAAGTGCAGTCATTTAGCATAATGAAATTTTCTCTTATTCCCAAAGATGACTGAAATACCTCCACTTTGGGGTGGGTAATAGGGAAATGATAATTTGCTTAAGTGAATGTAGTAAAGGTTATTTTTTACATTTACCAGTGAAATCCTAAACAGAAGTAATTTATTGACCCAAAGTCTTTCACATGTTTACCATTGTCTTCCAAATCACTAGTTACCTGGCTTTGAAAAGCTATCTCCGGCTGGGGTTGCGGCTGTGTGACAGACACATCGGTTTGTCTAGAATATTAGTTTATAGCTCTTGGTTTGATCCCCAGTTTTAATTTTGTAAATAATATTTTAGAAGGAAATACTTTTACGGAAGTTTATTGCTTTATGTTTTTAAATAATTTTTATAGTCTTGTCAAAAAAAGGTTATTAGTTGTACTCTTGTTTTTGGCCTATTTTTTTTTCTTGCCAAAATGTTCCAGATTATACCATAACCATTAAGAACACACACACACACACACACACACACACACACACACACACACACACACACATTCAATCAAGTTGAAGAAATTTGTGTAGCTGGGTCTGATTGATACAGGCGCTAACAACTAGAGTAGATGGCTTGCCAGTTCGAGACCTGTGTACACTACAGAAGGAGCTGAAAAGCTAGCCTGGGCAACTTAGTGAGACCTTGTCTGAAAACAAAATGTGAGAACGAAGAAAAGGCTGCAGATAGAGCTTAGCTGTAGAGAGCTAAGCTGACAAATTCCCGGTACTGCAGAAAAAAAACAAGAAATTAGTATGTAGTAAATTAGTAGTCAATATAATCTAGTTGATTGACTGCCATTTTAGGTGCATATTAGTATGGAATGGTAAGGGACTCAGGAGATGGTCAAGCAGTAAGTAGTACCAACACAAATGCGAGAAAAAGTGATATATAAGATTCTAAAGTTGAATACATTAATACTCTATATGATCAACTTCAAACCAGCAGTGAATCAGAAAAGAATGGAAAACTCTCCTCATCTATGTAGTAGACAAACTATTGATGTCAGTGTTGATACATGTTTATAAAGGCTTCTTGAGAAGGAGGTGTACAGTTATATACATGGAGCTAATAGACATGACTGTTTTTGGATTCTTACACAAGTTGAGCTCTGCTGAAGTTCTTTGGTTTAAGCATGAAATTTACAGTATATTGCCCCATTTAAGTTGAGTTCAAAGATAGCTGGGCATCCAGAAATCACAACTCAGCAAGGGAAGTCTGTTTTTTGTAGCTATGTGGATGGTATTTGATACCAGATATAATATGATACCAGTTATTTTCACATAGGGAGAAAATAACAACTAGGTTCATAAGACGAGGAATCACAACTGAAGCTCTTGGAGGAATTCCAAAATCAAATGGTCCATGGGAAGACTATTCTGTAAATGAAGTCTGAGGAGAGTTAATTATTGGAGAAAACCAGGGAACAGAAGACAAACTACCTTAGTTTCAAGAAGATAGTGTGGTTACCAACTGCAGAAAACTTGATTTGTGGAGAGTTGGGGTGCCTGGAGATAGAGAATAGAGGTCTAAAATGGCAGCTGCTTGAGGAGGTAGTTTGAATTGATAGACAGGATCATTTGAGTTTATTGATACTGGATATAGAGTGGCACTAGTTTGTACCTTACACTCTCAGTGCTCATCTGTCCCAGTAAAGGCAAGGAGGACATAACTCCCAGATGCAGGAATGGGGGACATACTGTATAATTGATCACCTAATTAACTTTAAGAAAAAAGGTGGGCAGGCTTGTTTTCTGGCTTCATGTAGGACAAAACAACAGAGAGAAGTGAAAGAATAATACAGAAGTGCTGATGTCGGTAGTGATTTGTGTTTAGGTGCAGAGCATTGCTCTGTATACTGTGGAAATCTGTGGTAGTCTAATCTACATTATCTGTTGTGTCAACTTTTCCTGAAGAGCCATGAAAAAGTGTCTGTTCACTCCAGATAGGGAACCAGTGACAGACTAAAGTAATGATTCTACCAAAGTCAAACTTGCCCAACTAATGAGTTTATTAAGGTTATTTAGCAGAGTATGGAATAGGGGTTTTTGTGCAGAAGCATGGATGACTCATTCCTGAGCCCTTAGCCCCTATGGTGATGATTCATGAAGGCTGCATCCTTGGAGACCCCGTCATAACTTGCAGATAGCTCAGTCATTAGGAGAGTCTCCTCTTGAAGAAGTTAACTGTCTGTATAAACTTGGGAGTCTTGTAAGCTTCAGCTTTGCTGAATTTAGGAGGGTTGTTTACTTCCTGAGTCTAGGAAGGAATCTTTCAATTATGAGAAAATTGCTGATCAACACTATCCCAATACATATCTACTCTGTTTGTTAATAAATATTTCTCCTACTAAAGTTGACATTTCCAGGGTATTTTCACTACTATAAGGTTTAAATGTTCTAAATTCTATTTAATGTTATTGTGTTGATTGGCATGGACAATGATTTAAAAAATACTTATGATAACAAAAACTTAATATTGTCTTAGTATATTTTCTGTTGCTAAAATAGATTACCACAGACTTAGGTAATTTATAAAGACAAAAGATTTCTTTCAATTCTGGAAGTTAGCCATTACAAGACTAGAAGCTGCAGCACTGGTTAGGGCCTTCTTACTGAATCAAAACTCGGTGGAAAACATTGTGTCAAGAGCAAGGGAGCATGTATACTAGGGTTTCCTCTTCTTTTTGGGGGGGAGGAATGTAAAACCACTAATGCTATCATGATTGCCCCATTGCAAACACCATGAGAAAGTAAATTAAGTTTCCAGAACACAAACTTTAGAAGAGATATTCAAACTAAAGCAGTTTTAAATATCCAGAACATTTTTTTAGATTGAACTCTATGTATGTATACATATTACTCCTATTTTCAGTGTTATCCATGCATCAGAGATTTGGTAATTGCTTTGCCTATTGTAATGCATTTATTTAATTTGCTGCCTTTCATGGTATGTGCCATTATTTTCATTTTATAGATAATAGAACTAAGATTGAGAGAGAGAGATGATTTAGCCAAGTTATGCTGCTAGTATGTGATAATCAGACTATATATAGCCTGGCTGGTCTTACTACTCAAAACCAGCCTGTACATTTTGGCTACTATGGTAGACATATAAACTGTATTCTATATGAGACAAGCATTTGACATATGTTATAGTGTTTAAAATTCATTATTGAGTAGAAGTAGTGTCATGGACACCAGTTTTATAAATAACACAAGACAACAAAACTGCAGCTGTTCATCAATGTGTGTATTACTTCCCTGTTGCTGTGATAAAACACCAGGACCCAAAGCAGTTCATGGAAGAAAGAGTTTCTTTGGGCTTACGGTTGCGGAGGGACAAGACTCCATCATGTCTGGGAGGCATGGCAGCAAGCAGCAGGCATGGGGACAGGAGCAGACAGCTGAGAGACCACAGCTTCAGATCCAAGCAGGAGCAGAAAACAAGCTAGCTGGAAGGGGCGCAGGCTTTTAACTGGCAGATCCTTCCTCCAGCGACCCTTCTCCTTCAGCAAGGCTGGACTGGCTAACCTCCCCAGACACCACCACCACCCGAGGAACCTGTGGGAAACACTTTCATTCCAGTCACTACCGTGTGGAAGAGAAAAAAGGGAAAGGGAAAAAAAAGGGAAAAGGGAGGAAAAAGAAAAAAAGAAACAAAGCAAAATAAAACAGAAAAGCCCCCAAACCCCCAAACCCAAAACATAAGCTTTCTGAAATTTCTTACAAAAAATAATTCTTAACTCTTATTCCATGTCCCCTATAAACCTTCGTGAAGACCCATGTATCCCAAAAGCAGTGGTTTATGGCAGGAGTTAGTCTCAGTGTAAACGTTGTGATGATTCCAGACCAGTAGAAATTATGTCTATTATCTTTTTAAAAGAGGAAAATATGGAAGATTTTAAATGTTAATAAATGATGAAAGTTTTATCTGTCCATGCTACTTAGAATACCTTAAAAGTCTCTACCAACTCTAAATAAAGTGGATATGTGTTTTTCTTCCTTTATTGTCTTTCAGTTTAGCACCCTTTAGGAACTATTACCTTTGATCTTCTAGATTATAGATGTTACTTATAAGTTTGTAAAATTTGTACTTTTTTTTTTTTTTTTTTTGGTTTTCTGAGACAGGATTTCTCTGTGTACTCACTCTGTAGCCCAGGCTGGCCTAGAACTCACAGAGATCCCCCTGCCTCTGCCTCTCAAGTGCTGGGATAAAAGGCGTGAGCCACCACCGCCTGGCAATTTGTACATGTTTTATGTATATAATGGTGGTAAAATTGTTTCTCATTGTCCTCTGAAGGATCAAAAATCACCATAATCTTTTGGACCATAATTAAGACACTTGCAAAATAATTTGTGCATTTTAACTTTCTTTCAACTCTCATGACCTAAAACATTTTTATCCAGAAAACTGATGTTTTAATTAATATGTAGCAACCTAGAAAATACAATAATGCAAAAAAAAATCAAATGAAACAGTTCATTTGTAGTGGGAATACACAGTTTGACTATAAATCAGCTCATCCCTATTGTATTTACATCTGGAATTTAAGGGCAAAGGAAGTATTTTAAAGAATATTGAGATGACATATTTCACTAGAAAGAGGATGTCTTGAAGTCTCGAGCCTTCTGAAATTAAAATGTTAGAATTCCATTTTCTTTATGAGCTACGTTGAAGTTTGCAAGTCAGATTCTTGCCTTAGAAACATACCCCAGCAGTAATCCAAACATGCACAGTGGTGAACCTCTGCTGCCCATGGCGTGGCACAGCAACGCTGCCTGTCTGTTTGCAAGTCAGCATTGGGGCAGTTGCTCCTGGGTTCATCTCTTTTCTGCCACTGTCTTCATGTTGTCTTCAGGACCGCCGGCCAGCTAGGGTAGAGAATGTATGCAGCCCTTAAGCCACCTGCTGGTCTTATGAAAAAAAAAAAAAGGGTCACTCTGTCTTAGGTTCTTATTTATTATTTGCAACAATATTAAACACTATTTTTTTTACTTACTTATTTATTCATCATTCATTTATGTATTTATTTTTGGTTTTTCAAGAAAAGTTTTCTCTGTGTAGCCATGGTTGTCCTGGAACTCACTCTGTACACCAGGCTGGCCTGGAACTCACTCTGTATACCAGGCTGGCCTGGAACTCACTCTGTACACCAGGTTGGCCTGGAACTCAGAGATCTCCTGCCTCTGCCTCCTGAGTGCTGGGATTGAACGCGTGTACCACCACCACCCCTGTTAAGCACTTTTTATGTTTATTTTATGCAGCTGAGGTTTAGATAGGTAAAGCACGTTTCCTTCCTTCCTTCTTTCCTTCCTTCCTCTCTCCCTCCCTTCCTCTCTCTTTTCTTTTCTTCCTTTCTTCTTTTTTTTTTTGAGACAGGATTTCTTTATTTCTTTATTATGTAGTCCTGGCTATCCTGGAACTTACTTCAGACCAGGCTGGCCTCAATTTCACACAGATCTGCCTGCCTCTACTCTTTGAGTGCTGGGATTAAGGTGTGCTCCACCATGCCTGAGTAAGCACCTAGTCTTAAGACACATAGATATATACAGAAGTATAGCAAGGTGTTAGTAGTGGTTATAGGTGGGTAAATTAATGCTGGATAATTTTTTTCTCAAATGTTGTTCAAATTAAATAAAGAAATATATGTGTATAACTTGTAATCAAAGTGGGAACAAGGTCTAAAGATTAAGTAGACAACAATTATGAGAATATTAAAAGCAATGCTTAAAAAATTATTACTTGAGTTTCATGTGTGCCATCCTGTGTTTATAAAAAGAGCAGATATACATTCATTACTTTACATTCCATTGAATGTACATTGAAACTGGAACCAGAGTCTAAGTACGCATGCTTTTCATGATGAGATGTCCATATTCTTATGTGGACTAGTGTGAACTGGGTCTTGCTAGTCAAAGAATTCAGTTAAAGAATGGAAAGCCTAAAAACAATTTAATCAGCAATTTAGAGGAAAAAAACCAACACACACAAGCTGTAAATCTCAGCAGTTTTGGAAGGAGGGAGGTGGAGAGGAGGAAGAAGAAAGCCATGCTACTTGAGTTAAAGAGTCTGAAAGCTGGCATGTGCAGCAGTGAAGGTTGGTAAACAGCTGCCTGGCAGAAAGGGAGAAACTTCAGAGACAGGGAACAGCCCAGAGAGTTAGGGTTAACACATCTAGGGATTGATCACTGTCTGAAAGAAGATACAGAAGAAAAGGAATAGGTATGCTTTTTCCTCTCCTCCTCTTAGCATTTTTTTCAAGTAAATCAAATTTCCTGTGGCATGGACTCCTGGCCAGGTGATTGACAGGCTTAGCTGGATTGCCTCTTAAAAGAGACAATACTATATAATGTTCTAATCTTTAGAACAGATCAGAATGTCATGGTCTCCACCCAGGGCCAGAGTTATTTTATTCTTTTGACCAGGAGGCCCAAGAGTGGCAAAGCTGATATGTTTACCTTTTTAGAGTTACCAGGGAAACAGGAAGTACAATGCAAAGCTTACTTTGAGGGAGGAGTCTATCCTCAATGGACTCTAAGACTTACAGCATCAGACTGAAAAGATGAATTCATCTAGAACTTGGCTTAGGAGTTTGAATTTTATGGAACAGTATGCACAGAGATTAAAGCAAAGCCATCTTTTTGGGAACCTTAAATGTTTTAAGATCTATTAGAGAAGGTAAAGTATGAAAGCCTACCCAAAAAAGGATACCGTTGTTGAGTAGCTAGAAAACAAATGATTGAAAGCCGGACAGATTAGTGAGAGTGAATGGAGTGAGAGGACAGTTACTAGAAACGTTAGCATTTTGTGAGTGAGGAGAAGATGCCCAAAAGAATTTCTTGAAATTCCACCAGGTTCTAATCTGAATACCTGGAGATATGCTGTTAATAAACAGTAGAAGAAACAAGTAAGAAATGGAATGAGTCAGATGATTTGCTGGCTCAGAGAGTTAATATATTCCTGCTTCAACTATTAGTATATTCTTTTAAGAAAGACCAGAAATTGTTTATCATCTAGCGATAATGTGTCATGTAGGTACGTAACATATTTATTAATTTGAGGATGTTCTTCCTGGTGTAAGAACAATGAAGTTTAAAGTAGCTGATGTGTCTATTGAAATGCAGAACTTGTTTTCTTTCCTTCACTAGTGCTCAGGCTCTGTAGGAGTTACCATATACCCAGTCAAATTGGTTGCATTTTCCTTTGGCTGCCCCCTTGTGGGACTAGGGTCCATCAATCCCAGACCCTGCGTTTACCGAACTTTTTTTTTTTTTCCCGAGACAGGGTTTCTCTGTGTAGCTTTGGATCCTTTCCTGGAACTCACTTGGTAGCCCAGGCTGGCCTGAACTCACAGAGATCTGCCTGGCTCTGCCTCCCGAGTGCTGGGATTAAAGGCGTGCGCCACCACCGCCCGGCTCCTTTCAGGTTTTAATTTGGGGGTTGAATAGCTTTGGTTTAACTGATTAAATGTATCAAATTTAATCTACTGATTAACGTATCAGTTTGTTTAATTGAATTCTCTCCTGTTACCAGAGATTTCAGACCGTGGTTGGCTGGCCATATTGCTTAGGGCCTGAGATGAGGATTGGTAGAATAGAGCTGCTCAATTCATGGTAGCCAGGAAGCTGAGCAGGTGGGAGGAGCCAATGACAAGATACAGTCATTAACAACATGCCTCCAATGACCTATTTTCTCCACCTAGGCCCCACCTCTGAAAAATTTGATAACTTTCAATAATGCCATCAAATTATGAAACTTAGTGGATTAATGAATTTATTAGGTCAAGACTCTTGTAATTCCAACACATGAGGCTTTGGGAGATACTTTATATCCAAATCAAAACAGATCAAAAACTATATGAAGTAAGTAAGTTTGTTTCCAGCTTTAGCAGTCATTATCAACTATTTGAAACCATAATGTTTATTTACTTACATGTATGTGCACATATATACATGTGGGGGGCAGAGGCCAACTTCAGGTGTCTTAATGTTGCTCCACCTTAATCTCCCCCCCCCACCCCCCCCTCACCCCCACCCCCACCCCCGCCCCACAGACAGGGTTTCTCTGTGTAACTTTGGAGCCTGTCCTGGAACTCGCTCTGTAGACCAGGCTGGTCTCGAATTTACAGAGATCCGCTTGTCTCTGCCTCTCGAGTACTGAGATTAAAGTCGTGTGCCATCACTGTCCAGCAATTTTTCTTTTCTTTTAAACTACAAGATCTCTCTATGTAGCTCTGGCTGGATTAGAACTCTGTCTGTAGACCAGATTGGCCTTAGAACTCACTGAAAGCAGGCTGTCAGCCTCCTGAGTGCTGGGACTAAAGGTGTGCACCATTATGCCTGGCTCCACCATAATTTAAAACGGGGTCTTACTGAAGCTGGAACTCAGGCTGGCTGAGAGAGCTGGTAGAGAGCACTGGACATGGATTTGTCTCTCACTAAGGCTACAGACTCATGCTGCTGTGCCCAGTTTGCGTGTGAGTTTAGGGGTCTGAACTCAGGTCCTCGTGCCTGGGTGGCAGGCCTTTTCCTGACTGAGCTCTCTCTCCTCTGTTTGCATTTAAATTGTAGTCGAAAGCTTCACCAAGTGGTTTATGCCACTCTGTGTGTGTGTGTGTGTGTGTGTGTGTGTGTGTGTGTGTGTGTGTGTGTGTGTGTATATATACATACATATGTTCCTTTTGAGCAGAGATTTCTTGTCCCAAACATTTTTGCATTCCTGCAAGTAGTTTGAATTGTTCCTTTACAACTTCTACGAACTCAGTGGTTTACAACCACAGGTACGAAGTCTTAATTGGTGTTTCCTACATTAGCAGGAGGGCATACTAAGGACTTTAATCATAGTTTTTCGGTGGGGTCCTGGTACTTTTTGCTAGAGTAAGTGTGGCATGTGCGTGGAGCACAGCACGTACTGTCTGAAGAACCCCAGGTGCAGCTCTTGTCCTCCAGTTGCCCAGTGTCCGGTCTCATGTCTGTTTTCAGCCTGGTGCTAAGACTTGGGTTGTCGCTGCATCCTGACATTTTCAAACTTACTGAACTAAATCATGAAAGCAATCTTCTGCTCCATGTTCACATCACTTACATAATAACCAAAACATGAAGTTCTTTTAGATGTTTTTGAAATATTTTTTTTTTTTGGAATCTAATGGAGTGCCTTTTTTTTAAGAACCCCCGCCCCCATTGTTTTATTTCTAATTGTGTTTGTTTGTGGATATGTGCGTGTGAGTGCAAGTGCCCACAGAAGTCAGAGGAGGCTGTAGGATCTCCTGGAGCTGGAGCTACAGGTTATGAGCTACCCAATGGGGGTTCTAGGAACTGAACTTGGGTTCTTGCAAGAACAATATACTGACCTTGTCTATTCTATATATTCCTTTCAATTTTTTGTCTACTTTTCTTTTAATTGTTCTAAGTCCTACATAATTTAACTTTATTGGCAGGATAAACATCCCCTTTGTCACATTTCTGTGAACGGTAGTAGGTATAGGATGCTTCACTTCAATAAGCGTCACTGAGTTTTGTTTGTACTTTTTAGACTACTTGTGAATTGGCCAGCCTCCCTCCCTCCCTGCCTCCCTCCTTCTTCCTTTTCCTTTCTCTTTGCATTTTACTCCTCCCACTGTCTCATACTTCTGTGATGCCAAGAGACTAAAATGTCAAGGAGTTTGAGTCAAGACATCTTCAGGATCAAACAAAATTTACTCACTCTTATCTTCTTCAATTATGAAAATCTTACTGGCTAAAGCAGATCTCCTACTTTCTCTTCATTGTTGCTTTTCTTCTCCCTAGGCCTTTCCTTGTGACACTATGCTGATTATATAATTGCCATTGGTATTAACTAGTAACTCAAAATGTGCTTGAAATGCTCAGGTGATTTTATAGAATCTCTCTTTTTTGCTACCTGTCAGAACTGTACACATTTTATGTTACTTTTATAGATTTCTCAGTGTTCAAGGTGAGGTTTTCTACATTCTTTTATTATCAGTTTTCTATCAGTTTATAAAAGACCACTTTATCATAGTTGAATTTCCACTCTGACTCAGTTTTGAGATTTCTGTCCTATAGTTAGCTTCGTTTCCTCAGTTACTTACCTTTGAAATCATCAGTGAAATCATCACTGAGTTATTAGGTACCTTTGAAATCATCTTCCTAATGGGTAGCAACTAGTGTTTTGTTCTTCCCTAATTCCATCTTTGAGAACAGTTTGGTGTGGTGTATATATTCCTTGTTCTCCCTTTCTCTCTCTAGACTTAGTATACTCTCTAGTATACTCTGTAAGGAAGCCCAGGTTTTTCCCCATCTTAGTAAGCATGCCTTCTTACTTTTCTTTAATTCTCTCACTATGAGTGTAAGTGTATCATCTCTTGTAAAATTTAATTCATCTGGAGACTGAGCAAACCTGGTATCGAGAGTTAGGATTTATTTTAGCTTTCATTTTAATTTAATCTTAAATTGTGCATATATTTGTATTCCAGGCACCAATCTGAGAATTTATGAAGCAAACAGTATGTTACTCTCTCCCTTAGTTTGGGTAATAAATGAAAATTGACATCACGGTTGATGTAAAACCTTTACTATTTATAATAGGAAAGCCAGATCTTTACGCCGACCTCCATTTAGGTGCCCTGACCTGCCTCATGTACAATGAATGTAGAGAACTTGAGGAGGAACATGGAAAAAAATCTGTACAGATAACCTTGGCCTACTGTTGTAGAATATTATTTTATGATGTGTTACATTTGTTTGTGCTCTGGAACATTTGTCTTAATGATGCAGAGATGTGTTGCATTCTTTTATATTGCATTTGTTTAACTCTGTGAAGCTGTGTTACTTTGCCTGTCTAAAACACCTGATGGTCTAATAAAGAGCTGAAAGGTCAATAGTGAGGCAGGAGAAAGGATAGGTGGGGCTGGCAGACAGAGAGAATAAATAGAAGGAGAAATCTGGGAGGAGAGAAGGAGCAAGAAAACACAAGAGAGGAGGACATCAGGGACCAGCCACCCAGCCACCCAGCCATCCATGGAGTTAGAGTGAAAGTAAGATATACAGAAGTAAGAAAAGGAAAAAGCCCAGACAAAAAAGGTAGACAAGATAATTTAAGATAAGAAAAACTGGCAAGAAACAAGCCAAGATAAGGCCGGGCATTCATAATTAAGAATAAGTCTTTGTGTGTGATTTATTTGGGAGTTGGGTGGCAGCCCCCCACTCCCCAATAGAGCAAAAACAACCAACAACAGCCTACAGCTGGTAGGATCTCACTAATCATTGCAGACATCACCCCGTGGACTAAGTGACTTTTTGGGGAGGAGTTGGAATTTGTCTTCACTATGGTATATTTTGAGAAGGACTAAGTTCATATTTTATAGACAAGAATGTAGTGAAAAAGAGTCATACTATCCAGAGTTTGAAAATACAACAAAAGTAGAGTGAGAATTCTGACTGCTGTTTTGGTGTTTACCCTTCTTCTCTTTTTCATTAGCTTTCTAGTATATAGTTTTCGGTATAGGCTTTCTAGCTCTTTCCTGAGTACATAGAAAGTGCTGGCTACAGAAGTGAAAAAGAAGAAAGTTGGTCCTTACTTTATACAAAGTATAGATAAAAAACAAAAATATTTTTATATTGTGGGAATGTAAGAAAAAATTGATTGCATCTGGATAAAGTTACCTTTTAAAAATAAAAAAGCTAACTGGAAACTGCTGCATATTATTTGTGTAAACTAGCAGAATGAAGTTTAACAGAATATTTAAAATATGAAATCACAGCTAATTTTAAATGTTGCAAATATCTTAGTTCAAAGAGTTATTTACAGTGTTTTAATGACAGTAACCTCAAAGCATAGTTGCTATGGAGATAATGTGGTGTAGTCTTTTTGTTTTTTTTCCTTTCCTTCTTCCTTTTTTTTTTTTGAGACAGAGTTTGTGTAGCCCTGACTGTCCTGGAACTCACTCTGTAGACCAGGCTGGCTTTGAACTCATAGAGATCTGCCTGCTTCTGCCTCCCAGGTGCTGGGATTAAAGATATATACCATCACCACACAACTTTGTCTTTACTTTTTCAAAAAAGTTTTTTTGTTTTATGAGTTCATGTATTTATACAGTGATTATAATACATCTACCACTCCATTTATAACTCCCTCAAGTGCATACGACCTAGTCTCCCTCTCACTTTTATGTCATCCTTTAAAAATTATTATTAATAACTCTTTGAGTCCAATTAGTGTTACCTATATGTATGATGTGGGACTATAAATGGGCATGGGCAACCTCCCAGTAGCCAAGTACTCAAAGGAGGGTGACTCTCCATCCCTCAGCAGCCATCAGCTGCTAACAAGTCTTCACTAGGGACCTTGCGAGCCCCTCTCCTACCCATGTTGGATCATGTATAGGTCCTGTGTAGGAAACCATAGCTGCTGTGTGTAACATCCATGTCATCTCCAGAAGGCATCGTTTCTGTTCTCCTTCCCATCCATTGGCTCTCACATCTTTCTTCCCCCTCTACTTCCATGGTCCTGCACTGTGGACTTGGGAGGCTGATATAGTTCAACTACTTTTGTGCTTCTGTTTTGTGTGTATACACACAAGTATTTAGAAACCCACTCCCCCCGCCAAAAAAAAAGCAGTAGGTTTTCCCCACTAAGGCCTATGTTCTTCCCAGTCATGGGATTTTGACCAGGTTTACTGTACCAGGTATAAAGCCCCTCCTGTGAGACAGGCCTAATATCTAATCAATATTTTAATATTTCTTGATTTACTGAAGTCCTTTATTTCATATATTAGATTTTAGTTGAATATTTTCATGTGAAAATTATTTTTTAGGTTGAAATGCTTTCAGAAGTATATTTGATAATGATAGTGCTAAATCTGGAGTTTGTTTCAAGCTTTTATGTGTAGCTATTTGATTTCTGTTAGAAACTAGTTTTGATGTCTTTTCTTTCCTTTTGAAAATCTTATAATATGATTTTACTTAATTTCCTTCTTTCTTGTGCAAATTTATTATCTTTTGTTAAGTCGATGGATATATTCATTTAATGCATTTCTTTTCCACTTTCAAAGACAGTTGATTTTATTTTCAGATTTATACCATGAGCTAAACAGTATAGGATGCTTTTCTTTCCTTCTCAGGCATTTGCGTTCACACAGAGCTAATGTTTCCGCATATCCTTTACGTTTAGTCTGCATTGGAAAATTTCAAGTTGGCGCCATTCTCCATAGTAATGTGCTTTTAAATCACTTCTCTATAAGGTGGTTGAAGATTATGCTGGACGATGGCAGGTCCCTTTGCCACAGCTTCAGGTTCTTCAGACTGCACTTTGCTGTTTCACCTCAGCCAGCGCATCCTTCCCAGATGAATGTGAGCACGTGCAGTATGTTTTGAGTAGTCTTGCTGTGTAAGTATTCTTTACTTCTTATCAACTCAGTTTTTTGCTTTGATATATTGGCTTTTGGTGTTTCTTCTGAGGAAAGAACCTTTCCTAATGTCTTACCTCAAAAAGAAATTACCATTTTTCACTTCAGTTATTTTCTTTTAATTTTCAACATTTAAGAATTATTTTACTTTTATTGGGGTGAAGTGGATTTGTGGTACACACATTCTTCTGGGTTTTAATTCTCCAGGTGGCCTTGGAAAATTCTAACGGTAAGTCTCAGGGTATGGTAATTGAGGCCATGGTAATAAGCAGAGAGGGACCTTAAAACTTTCCAAAAGGAGGTTAGGAAACTCCTGGTTTTAAAAAATGCTTGTACGTAACATTGAGTTAAAATTATACACTGGGCTTTGTGCTGGGAATTAGCTGCTTTAGTAGAGTAGTAGTTTTAGGTTCTCCTTCAAGATCCATGATTTCACTTACCCTGAGTTGTTGGCTAGGTGTTCATTACTAAGCATGATTTCCCTCTTGTTGAGTTGGTCATGAGGCCAATTAGAGAGCTATTAGTTACCACCAAGGTATGTGTGCTGCTAATGCACCTTTAGGATTATCGTGCTGTGCTGGTTGTTGATGTGGTTCATAGGCATCATAGTGGGGTTAGGACTGTTGGTTGATTTTCCTCCTTTGGAAGCTTTCATGGCACCTTCTGTTAATATGAAAGCTGATCCTCAGGGAAGAAACACTCAAATTCTTTCAAGCTCAGGGAGCCTTTGAGCCATGTGTCTGAAGTGCATGGTGGTCTTCAGAAATAGAAACTTCTATTCTACTTCTGAGGTGACCAAGGACAATAGCAATAGTCTCTAATGTTTGGGGAGTGTCTTGGACAACCCTGACCAACAACTCATACTCATATATAGAAAAGGAGTCAGTCATCACTTTGAGCTTTCCTAACTAGAATAGTTTTGGATTCATTCTCATTTCTTGGTATTGAGGTTTTTTATTAGGTGGTCTTGGGCTCTTGGAGGGAGTATTGTCAGCCCATATGAGAAAACTTCATTTAAACTATTCATATTTATACAAAGACTTATAGTTTTTCTTAGATAGATAGTTAATAGTATGATTTTTTAAGACATCCCTACTGTTATTATATCCTCCCTCCTGTATTTATTCCACTCCCTATTTAGAGCCCCCCTTTCCCATTATTTAAAATGTTATATAGTGATTTTTATTTTATTGTTTGATAGCATATTTACTGCTGCTCAGATAAAATACAATAGTTTAAGAATCAAATCTTAAACTATGTGCCCAGGGTGTGATTACACTAGTCTGCAATCCCAGCATGTATCTTATAGAGGCAGGAGAATCAGAAGTTGAAGGTCATCGCTGCCTATGTAGGGAGTTTGAGGCCAGCATAGGTTACATAAAACCCTCTCTCAAAAAACAAAAATCAAATGTTATGTAAGATAGAGAATGCTGGGTGAAAGAATTAGTTATTTGAACTGCTTATTAAGTTGTGCTGTGTTTTAAAAGGAAAAGTTTATTATTGGAATTTACTGTAATAGAAAAGAGAGCTGTATTTTCCATACTAGAAGAAAAATAGAGAAACAGCAAAATGATTGTTCCATTAAAATAGTAATAAGTTTGTGATGATGGTATTTTATTTTTCTAAAATAACCAGAAAATTATAGAAGTCCATAACTATTCTTTATTTCCTGTAAAGCTCTGTGTTTTTTCCTTAGGCCAGAGTTGGAAACAAATAAGTCTTATTCTTAAAAATCTGGCCGAGAGTTTAGAGATACTAAATCACCAGTTATACTATTATGTAATTGTAATTTTGAGATAATTACAGTGTATAATGAAGGGGCATAGCAAAGGTTTTACCTGGTATTGGATGCTATGGGAAATCTTCTGGTTGAGTTAACACTTGACTTCTGAAAGAACGTGAGGAATAGCTAGATGGAGCAGCAGAAGAGGCTCCCATAGCCACATAGAGTACCTATACAGAAAGTCAGAATATTCACAGAATTCATTATATTTAGTTTCTGTTTGAAGACTTCTGTTTCATAGTTTATATTATGTATGTATAACTTTTATTCAGTTGAAAAGATATATATATATATATATATATATATGAGCTATGTGTTTAAGACTCTGCTTTATATGCATGTAAATATATGCATATATATGCTGTATATAAATATGAAAGCTACTATAATTTATATATGCCCATCTTTACAAAATTCTCTATTAACATGATTATGCCTATAGGAAGACAGGCCATCTCTAGGCTGCACAGTTGAATTATAGCCTTAAGGGGATCTTTACAGAGAATGAAAATGAATTCTGTCTTTATTTACAGGAGTATTTTTCAAATGTTTTGGAAATGAAGAGCTATGCAGAAACTTACTTTAAATCAGCAGCTACAATATGTCTGGCTTTACTGGGGTTTGCTTCCTTTGTAAGCTGTATTTTATAAAGAAATGAAAGTTTTATATATATATTAAATTAAAGTATACTGCAAAAATTTATTCTTGGTAGATAAAGAAACTGAGGATCGAGAAGTTTAGATTGCAAATTTCGGGTAGCTAGTTATGACTATTTAGTCTTTTTCTCTTCTTTTGTAAATTGATTAAACAATTTATTCCTTCCTTTACTCTCTCCCTCCCTCCCTCCGTCTCTCCCTCCCTTCCTTTTATTGAAAATAGATTCTTCTCTCATACAGTACACCCCAACCACAGTTTCCCCTCCCTCCACTCCTCCTAGCCCCTCTCCACTTCCCCTCTACCTCAGATCCATTCCCCCTCCATTTCCCTTCAGAAAAGAGCAGGCCTCCTAGCCATAATGGCCAAACAGGACAAAACAATATACAATAAGATAAGGTGAAAGCCCTTATATTGAGACTGGACAAGGCATCCCAGTAGGAGGAAAAGAGTCTCAAGAGCAGGCAAAGGAGTCAGAGATCTATCTGCTCACTGTTAGGAGTCCCACAGAAACACCAAGCCAACACCCATAACATATATGCAAAGGACATGGTGCAGACCCCTGAAGGCCCTGTGCTTGCTGCTTCAGTCTCTGGGAGCCATGTTCTCCTGGTGCCATCTATCCCTTCTGACTCTTACAGTCTTTACTCCCCCTCTTCGGTGTGACTGCCTCATCTCCGAGGTGAGGGATCCTATGGAGACCTCCACGTTAGACTCTCTCTGCATAATATGTGGCTCTGGATCTCTGCACCCATTCCCATCTGCTGTTGGAAGATGCCTCTATGATGATGACTGGACAAGGCAACAATCTATGAGTATAGCTGTAATTTCTAACTTTCATAGATAAAACACAATGGCATATGAAACTGAGAACAGATAGCTACCAGTTTTATATAAAATTCAGATATTAATGTTGCTTTCCCAGCATTTTTTTTTCACCAAGGAAAGAATGTTCATGGATTTTAGCATAGCAGACTGAGATGAGCAAATAGGACATTGTTAAGTATTTGCCTGATAGACATCAGGTTCACAGATATTACCAGAGGAGTGGACTGGTTAAACTAGTAGCATTCATATGTATAGTGGCAAAAAAAAAAAAGCATATACCCATGTATGTCTTAGTATGTCAAGTTGCAGTATGTATGTATGATTAGCTTCTCATTCAGAACAATTAGACATTTGGGGGCTGTACCACATGTGTAATGGTAGATCACCAATCCTTTTTGATTATCTTACTTTATTATACTATATTTCAAACTTGATTTTCTATTGTATTGCAACCAAGTTTTATTTGATTCACTTATACTATAATGTAGATGCAAGTATCAATCAATTTGTAAATCAAAGGAAGAAAGAATAATTATGATGGTACATTTGTTTTCTTTTTAAATTACAGTGTGTATGTGAGTGTGAGTATGAGAGTGTGTGTGTGTGTGTGTGTGTGTGTGTGTGTGTGTGTGTGTGTGTGTAACTTGTGTGGAGGTCAGAGGACACCTGAGGTAGTGTGTTCTCTCCTACAGTGTGGGTCCTGGGGATTGAACTCAGGTCATCAGGCTTGTTGGTAAGTCCTTTATGCACTGAGCCATCTTGCAGGCCCCATGAAGGAAGAGGGAAAGGTTCTAATCTGAACCCCTTTTCTACAACAATAGCACTCTTAACTGTGTCTTAACTTTTAATTATATTGATCAACTCTTATTTAGTACTCTTTCCAATTTTGCATGTATTCTCTTCCATAATTATATTTTAGAGAGAACTATACATCGTGTAGATTTCTACTTTTCTGTTTCTTCTCCCTCTGAAGACAAAGAAATGTTTGTTGCTTTTGGAGGCAGTTGTTGGCTTTAATTCTATTTCCTTATTAAACTCAGCTCCCCTCCACCCCCATTGCCACTAGTACTGGGGATTAAACTCAGGGCCTTGTATTTTCCAGACAAGTGCTCAAACACTGAGCTATACCTCCAGCCCTTTGCATTATTTTTTATTTTTTATTTTTTTCAAGACAAGGTTTCTCTGTGTAGCTTTGGATCCTTTCCTGGAACTCACAGAGATCCACCTGCCTCTGCCTCCCGAGTGCTGGGATTAAAGGCGTGTGCCACTACTGCCCGGCACATTGTTCTTTATTTACTATTGCACTAGAATATTTTCTTTTCAGTATTTGTTGTACCTAAAGACAATATTAAACAAACCTGTATGTATTATCTTGTTCATAGTTAGAAATTGAGTGTTTCATTGGCACTAGTATGACTGGCATTTTCATATCTGTAATTTTGATATTTATTTCATGTTTTGTGCATTTTGCACTTAAAACGTGATGAAAATCCAGGGCTTTGCTTAAACTACATTTCCAGCCCCTTTTTCATTCCCCAGATATATCAAATATACTAATGAACTCATCAAAAACACTAACCATTGAGACTGACACTGTGGTTTTAGTTTCTGGCATCTAACTTTGAATAGTATATTGCGCATTTCTGTGCTGAAATCTGTAGCCTGTTCATGCATGTTGCCCATCTACTGGAAGATTGTTACATGAAGCCATGCTGTTTAGTGTAGTAGTTAAGCTAAACAGATTTTCAGTGTAGATGGAATAGCCATCCATTAGAAGATAATGCTGTCTAGGGGATAGTTTCTGAAACTATGTTGTGACCACACAGGGTTGGTAACTTAATGGGAGGGTTGTGAAAAAATTGAAAACATTAAAGTTTGTAAACATGAAATGAAGAAAACTTAATTCAAGTTCAGTGTGTGATGAATTCAAGGTATTTCTGGTACTGTTCACCTGTGTTACATCATACAGCTTCACTTCAGCCTTGGTTCTGAACATACAACATGCATTATGTTGTACTTACTGCTTACTAACTGTGCTATCACTCTATGCAGTACCAGCAAATGCGGCCTCAAACACCTTGGCTCAAAATAAAAAATACTTATGTTATAAATTGAAGCATTTTTACTATATGTACAAAATTTTCTACTTAGAGAAACATAATGGTAGAATTCTAGAAAACAAGACTTTAGTTTCCCACCCTTCCTCAGCATATAAGTATCAAATTAGTGTATCTTTGTATTGTATTGTATTGTATTGTGTTAGAATTTTTGACTGTAATAGTTGCTATTTGAGAGGTGGTTTGAATCTTACAAAGAAATGATAAATGAATTTGGGTTTGGGATTAGGACGGGATTGAACGCAATTTCTGAAAGGCCCCAAACATACTTCTGTCATTTTGTACTATGTATTTTTATTAAGGAGCATTCTCAACATTGATGATTATAAAACCAAAATATCAGTCAACTCTGAAGAACACAACTTATTCTATGTCCTACATTATAAAATATTCAACCGATATATAATTTTCTATGTAGCAGTAAAGAACGTGTATGGAAATTTGCTTTTATCTTTAGTAAGTGGTAAAATTAAATGTATAATGAAGAATTATTTTACAGTAAGTTTTTTCTGATTATTATCAATAAGTGATTTGTATACCTCTACACGCAGGATCATGTAAACGTTTTTTGAGTGAAAAGGAACAACTGTAGTGGTATTTGCTCTGCCCATGACCTTGGGGTATGGGGGGAGGGGGGCAAAGGAGGTGGTGCTTCCTGCCGTGTGCTTCTGGCAGTGGTTACAAGAACCAATGCCTTGTGAGTCACCTGACCCTTCTCCAACTCCTTATAAGAGGTCTCGTACAACATACAACGGCAGGAAGCACTGCCTCCTTTGGGCCTTATAGCCCATGGTCATGGGCGGAGCAAATACCACACACACAAAAAAAAAACCAACAAGGAAAAAAGTTTAAAGAAGCCCAACTGTGAGGTTCAAATGGCTAAAGAAGGTTTGTACCAAGCCAAGCTGACTCTTACTAATAGCTAATGTGGCTGGTGACTCTGTGTGGAAGCTTGTCTACCATTTCTGAAAAATCTAGGGTCTTTATGGATTCTACCAAGTATCAACCAAGTTCTACTAGTAGAACAATGCCTGAATGATGGCACGTCTGTTTACAACATGGTTTGATGAATATTTTAGTCCAGTCTGGAGACCTACTGCTTAATGAGAAAGATCACTTTCAAAGTATACTGTTTGCAGTCAATGGACCTGTTTGCTCAGGTGAAGGTTTACAATGAGATTAATGTTATTTTAATGCTTATATATCTATTTTTCATTGAGCAGTAACTTAAACTTTCATGTCTTATTATTCGAGAATTTTATTTTGTAAGGTGATACTTGTCTTAGGTAGTGATCCCCTGATGGATCTGAGCAAATTATATTATAAACCTTCTGGAAATGGTTCATCATTCTAGGTTGCAATGAAACAAACACTTGTAGTTCATAGGAGGTTGTGAGAGAGAGAGCGAGAGCGAGAGAGACAGAGAGTATATGTATGGGAAAAGTTGATTCTAACCTTCATGGATAACTTTTGAAAGGTTCAAGACTCCAGTAGAAGAATTAGCTGCAGATGTAGAAAGATCAAATTAGAATTACACATGAAGCCTGGAGATATGAATGAATTGCTATAATCAATTTTAAAATAGGAAGAGTTACTTCTTATGAATAAGTATAGTGCTTTTAGATGGCCCTGGGTAGGCACCTATCAGAGCTATTTGATAAGTTGACATGGGTAGGTTTCTTGAATCCAGAAGTTCGAGGTTAACCTTTGGGCATGGGGAGACTGAGTCTTAGTGCAAAAAGAAAAATGGTTTTTGAGATAGAATCTACTCTTGGTGAAGAGTAGATTAAATATTGCTAAAAGGTCAACAGAAGACTAATATACTACCAAACTCAGTTTATAAAGAGGTTTGAAAGTTTCATTCCAATTTTTACTAAGATCACAGACTTTCTCCTCCCTGGTGCTAGGGATTGAACCTAGGGTGTTGCTCATGCTAGGCAAGGACTCTACCACTGAGCTACATCCTTAGCTCATTCCAATTTTGTGAAGTTCTACTTCATGTTGTAGCATGGTGATCCTGTCTGAATTACATTCCAAAGAAGTCTTTGTGAAAAGGAGAACCAACTGATGTGGCAACTTCATTATTTTTTCTCTCTTTTTTTCATTATTAGAGTATATTCATTGTACAAAATAATGGGTTTTATTATAAGATTTTTTTTATACACAGATATAATAAACTTTGCCTTTATTCATCCCATCAGTACACTCACTTGTTCACCCTTCTTTCTCCCACTGGTGTTTTTTGGTTGGGGGGTGGGTGGGTGGGAGGAGGGCAGTGTTTCATGTATTCAGGCTGGCTTCAAACTTACGTGACTGAGGATGACCGTGAACTTCTGATCTTGTTTTCACTTGCCAAGTGCTGGGATTAGAAACATGTACCAATACACCTCTTCTGTGTTGTCCTAGGGACTGAAGTAGGTGGGGCTTTATGCATGCTAACAAAGTACTTTGACAATTGAGCTAAATTCCTAGTCCTTTAATGAGCTTTTTAAAACCAAGTATTTATAAGTAAAATACTTGGTACTAGATAGATGTTACAACTTGGTAGAACAAAACCACAAAGCAATGAAAATGACATTTTTTTTTTCAGGAGTTTCTTTGAGTTGCTCCTGTTCTTCGGAAGAGATGAGTTTTATGAAGAACCCTTAAAGGATATTCTTGGCTCATTCCAGGTAAAACAATTCACTATTTTACATTTTATACACACATACATCAGTTTGATTCTCTAAAAATACTTTGTCATATTAAATTTTTGCTTAAAAGTTGTTATGGTCACTCTAGTGACAGTTTTAAAGATTTCCCTATACTGGCAGATGAAGAAAGATCATAAATCAATTTTAACTGTATTCCCAAGCAGCTTATATCCAGGACACTAATTCTACATTAGGTAGGCCAGCGTGGTCACCACGCTTAAAGAACCTAAGCACATGTGGGAATATAGTGACTTTCCCCCCTGTCTAGAGCTTTCCCCCGGGGAAGAAGCAGTCTTGATGATTACAGAAGCAAACTGCTTGCCCTAGGTTGCTTTTTTCCTTTGCCTAGCTGATTTTCCCATCTCATAGTAACCTTTGCAGGTTGTTTGTTTTGGCCTCTAATGTAGGGGAAGAAAAGAAACAAATCTAGACAAGAATGACCAGTGAAGTGAGATGGCTCAGTTGATAAAATGCCTGCCCTCGAAAACATCAGGATCTGAGTTTGGCTTCCAACATCCAGAAAAAAAGTTAGTGTAGGGGCTGGATAGATGACTTAGGGGAAAAGGTGATTGTGGCCAAACTGAATGACTTGAGTTCAGTTCCTGGATCCTCCATGGCAGCAGGAGAAAACAGACTCCCAAGGGGTTGTTGTCTAAATGTCACATGTGTGGTTTGACATGCAAGTGTTCACACATGTACACAAATTCTTGTAGAAAAAGTGCTAGACATAGTTGTCATCCTTCCGTAATTGCAGTGCAGATACTCATAGCTCACTGGCTACCCAGTAGTCTAGCTGAACTGAGAAGCTCCAGGTTCAGTTGAAAGACTCTCAAAAATAAGGTGGAGAACAATTGAGAAAGACATCCACCATCAATCTCTGACCTCCACACTCATGAACACACTTCCATGTGCACCCGTATGAACTCACACACATGAATATGTACGTCCAGTGCACAAACATAGGCTGCTAAAAGATTTCAAGACCTCTTCTATACATCTAAAATATTTTGGTGCTTTTAGCCATATATTTAGGAAACAATAGTCTTAGTTAGGATTGCTTTGAAGAGACCCCATGACCATGGTAACTCTTATAAAGAAAACGTTTAATTGAGGTGGAGGCTCAGTTTCAGAGGTTTAGTCTATTATCATCTTGGTGGGAAGCATGGCGGCATGTACGCAGACATGGTGCTGGAGAAGGAGCTACTACATGTTGATATGCAGGCAACAGGAAATAGACTGAGACAATGAGTAGTATCTTGAGCATATATGAGACCCCCAAAGCTGCCTCCCTAGTGACACACTTCCTCCAATAAGGCCACACCTCCTAATAGTGCCACTCTATTTGGGGACCATTTCCTTTCCAACTGCCACATTCCACTCCCTGGCCCCCAAAGGCTTTTTAGCCATATCATAATGCGAAAATGTGTTCAGTCCAACTTCAAAAGTCCTCATATTCTATAACAATCCCAAACTTATTTAAAAGTCCAAAGTTCAAAGTTTCTTCTGAGATTCATGCAATCTCTTAATTGTAATTACCTGTAAAATCAAAATCAAAAAGCAGATCATATATTTTCAACATATGATGGCACAGGATATACATTACCATTCTAAAACATAGGGAAGAGAACATATTGAGGAAATACTGGACCAAAGCAAGACAGAAAACCAGCTGGGCAAACTTCAAACTCTGCATTTCCATGTCTGATGTCAAAATGCTCTTCAGATCTCCAACTCCTTTCATCTTTGCTGACTGTAACACACTTCTTTCTCTTGGGCTAGTTCCAATCCCTGTTAGCAGCTTTCCTGGACAGGTATTCCATGGCTCTGGCATCTCTAACATCTTGGAGTCTCCAAGGCAATCCAGGCTTCACCTTCACAGCTTGACGAAATGGCCTCTCTAAGCTTCCATGTAGGGAGACCCCTGACACATGCCTGGACTCAGCAGCTTTCCTTAATCACTGAGGAAGCTTCCACAACACCTTTCTTTTATCCTTGAAACCAGTACCATGTGGCCCAAGCTGCCAAATTCTGCTGCTTCCTGGGGCTGGAAAATGGCCCCTTTGTTCAATTAGATCTTCACTAGCTTTCTGTTTTCGATAGTTCCTTTCACTGCTTAAACTTGGCTGTCCTAAAACTTGCTCTGTAGACCAGGCTGGCCTAGAACTCAGAGACCTTTCAAATTACATTTTCACCAGCTTTCTGTTTTTGATGAATTCCTTTACTGCCTAAGCTTGGCTGTTCTGGAACTTGCTCTTTAGACCAGGCTGACTCAGAGACCAGCCTCTGCATTCCAAGTGCTGGGATTAAAGATGTTCACCACCACACCCAACTCTAAGCTTTTCTTTAATTCGTTTTCACAAGTTGGAAACAAGCTGGGTGTGATCTTACTCTGAGGTCACCACTCATTTTTATTTTTTCAATCCACACCACAAACACACAGTACTCTGCTCATCCATGTGTTTTCACTATTCATCAGCACTTCTTTGAGGTTGGAATAAAACATGGCATACGTGAAGCACCTCCAGGGGCTGATCTGCAACCTGTCATATATAATATTACTGTAGTGTTGAAGGCTTACGACCATTAAGGAGTTTAGCTGTATTATGAAAATTATATTCAGCATTCTACTGTGCCTATTCTTAATTCAACAAAATAGATCAAAATACTTGTTTTCCTAATATCAGCACTTGGTAGGCAGAAACAGGCAGCTCTGTGAATTCAAGAGCAGTTTTGTCTTCATAGTGATTTCCAGATCAGCCAGAGCTACATAGTGAAATCCTGTCTCACAAATACACAAATAGGAAATAACAAAAATCAAAGCAAAACTGTTTTCATGACATTCATAATCTATTCAGATGATAATATTCAAGTTTTTAACATTTACTAATTTTCCATTTCACTTTGTGTTTGACACTTGTTTTTGGTAATGTACTCTTGAACTTCTCTGCTCAGCGATGTTTATTGAGTCCACACACTGTGCTCAGCACTGAGCTCCATGAAAAACAACAGTAAGCAGAATAGTGAACTCCTGTAGTTGTGGCAGAGTGATAATAAGTCAAAACTTTTAAAGTGAGTATTTTGGAAAGCAGCAGCTACATTAGAGTTAAACCAGATAGGAGCTAGAGAATGCTGGCACAGTGGTACTGGAGAAAGGACATGTCAGTGTTAAATGATGGGCTCGGTGAGTGTGGCTGTGCGCTGATACTGGGAACCATCTTAGTGGCTGGAGACATTGAGAGTTTTTTTATTCCTTTTTTATATGCACATATATATATGTATATATATATATATAAAGTTTTGTTTTATGTATCTGGGTGTTTTTGTCTACATGCATATTTTTCCAACTCCAACTAAGGTTATTTTTTACTTAAAATGTATGTAAATATCTGTGAAGAAATATATCTTGTATTTTTTCTCTTGTGAGCAGAATATCATCAGTTACTGAAAATCTGCCATAATCAGTCCCCACACCCCCCCAAAAAAAACCCTTAAGGGAAAGTTAGATGTGTGTGTGTGTGTGTGTGTGTGTGTGTGTGTGTGTGTTACAGTCAACAGGGGCTAGATCAATAAATAATCTGTGGGATGAAAACCTCAAATATTTACTGAAGAAGCCTAATTTTGACAGTGTATATAAAAATGGAAACTAAAATATGTTTAATTGGCGACTAGAGAGATGGCTCAGTGGTTAAAAGTACTGGCTGCTCTTCCAGAGGACCTGGATTCAATTTCTAGCACCTACATGGAGATTGACAACTGTCTATAACTCCAGTTCCAGGGGATCTAAAACCCTCACACAGATATACATGCAGACAAAACACCAATGCTATAAAATAAAAATAAATAAAAATTAAAAAAATGTTTAATTGTGAGAAACAGAGGAAAAGATAGTATCATCTATGAAAGAAACATTTGCGAAGTGTACCATACATGTAACATTGGAAATGAAAATAATTGATGTTAGAATTAAGTTTAGATTCTTTTTTTTAAAGATTTATTTATTTATTTATTTATTTATTTATTTATTTATCTATTATGTATACAGTGTTCTGCCTGCATGCCAGAAGAGGGTGCCAGATCTCATTACAGATGGTGGTGAGCCACCATGTGGTTGCTGGGAATTGAACTCAGGACCTCTGGAAGAGCAGTCAGTGCTCTTAACCGCTGAGCCATCTCTCCAGCCCAAGTTTAGATTCTTAAACTATTTTCTGAAGACTATATTCTTAGCTTTATTGGATGAGATAAAGCTTTAGTAACTTTTTATTGGCATTTATCTACTTAAAGTAGCTAACTGCTTCATAATTCTTATATATCGTTCCCTGAGAAATGCTTGCTTTTGGTGTTTAAAAATAATCTTATGTTTGAAAAATATCATATTATATCTGTTGAATTTACATAACTTAGGGAGGTATAAAAGGCAGAGTTATTTTTAAGCTGTTTTTCCTCCCAGATAAGGTCTGTCCAGGAAGTCACTATGCCTAGACTGGCCTCGAACTCACAGAGATCCATCTGTCTCTGCCTCCCGAGCGCTAGGACAAAAGGTGTGTGCCACCACCTCTGACTGAAGCATAATTTTAAGTAAGAGACTGTTAGCCCAAGAAGCTAAGTTCAAGTGTTTAAAAGATTGAACTGTCACCACCAATGTATTATTTGTCTTCTGAAAAAGCAGAATTCTGGCCATGGAATAGCAGTTATCTCGAGAGGATATTAAATATTGTGCAGTAATAGTTTTTCCATACAGTATCCAATTTGTTAATAAACAAAGATATTATATTCTGACCACCTTGATGTCTGTTGTTGTCAAGAGCAGGCATGTAAATGACCAAAAAAATGGTAAGATTAGCATTTTGTAAGTAGTTCTAAGAACATATTAGGGTTGAGATATTCATTGTTCACTGAAAGCAGACTGTAATACAGAATTAAAATTCTCAACATATTAATGCTTGAGGCAGTCCATATTTTCTCAGATAACATATCACAGA